TCTTGCCACTGAGCGACGGATGTTGGAGAACTCGCCGCCGCGCCATGAGTCTCTCCTCCTCCCCCGTGACGTCACACCTACGTTGGCGGACGCGGCGGCAAAACCTTCTTCCTGTCTCCCTCCCTCCCTCTCTCTCCCTCTCTCTCTCCCTCTCTCTCAACGGGCCTCGCGAAGCGGAAGAGAACTGCCGGAATTGCACCGCGCTCGCCTCCTCCTCCCTCCCTCCCTTCCTCCCCCCTCCTCCCTCCTTCCTTCCTCCCCCTCCCCCCTTCTCGCCGAGGAAGAGAGGCCAGTTTTTGCCCGGACGCGCTGGAAGGTCTCCCCGTGCCTATAAACAGAAGGAAATAATAGGGGTTATCGAAAATAAATGTTCTCGCCAAGCAGTACGCATAACCAGTGCATGCATTTCTGCATATTGCGTACACAGACACAAAAGCGTGTCTGTGTACGAGCACACACACACATGTATATATGTGTGTGTGTGTATGTATATATATGTGTATAATATACATATAATATATATATATATATATATATATATATATATATATATATATATATATATAATATATATATATATATATATAAATATATATATATATATATATATATATATATATATATATATATATATATATATATATATATTTACATACATACATACATATATTTCATATATATATATATATATATATATATATATATATATATATATATATATATATATATATATATATGTATATATATGTATATATAAATAAATAAATATATATGTATATATAAACATATATATGCAAATAAACATATTTATATAAATATATAATATATGCATATACATGTATCTACATATAAATATAGTATATGTACCCTGATGAGGTAGTAAATGCGAAAAGGCCTTCGGCATATTCGTGTGTTTTCCTGTATATATTTACATATATATATACACATACATATAAACACACATGTATGTGTGTATATATATAAAAAAAAAAAAACATTACTCATCATCAGAGCCCAGCCTTCGAAAGGCATTCAATCCATAGCTACAGAAGACGAAGAGGACAGCGCAATAGGTTAACCCCGGTAACTCACCACTCGGACTTTTACCGCATATTAAGTACTCAAGCACACGTTAACAGCCTTGAGACGACCTCTTCTGCCCTTCACCCACGTCTTCTGGCACCCTCTTGTTGAATCTCTTGAGAGCTTGCTACAGCTCTTCTTGGGGTCGAGAAAGGACCTCTTGGTAAACATTTCGATTATGTAAATAAAGGAGTTGGTGTAAAATAAGATTTGAAAAAAAAAAAAATCGGTAGGGATTGAATCAGAGGAATTCTTTGTTTTCTGACGAAGAGCATTTGTGTTGTGAATAAATTGGTGAGAATTAGGATTTTTAAATTTTCTTTTTGTTATTTTTTTTATATTTTTGATAAGTCCTTTGTTTACATTTCCGTTTTCTTTTTATGCGTCTTGTTTAGTCCTACCTGTGCTTTGTCGCATATTTTTTTTCTCTCCTATTAAGGCAAGCTGCGCGACGGAAAGCTACGCACGGCTGCCGATTATGCGGAAGTACCAGAACGGAACTGAACTGTGACGGATTTCAACGACGTTTTTTTTAGGGTTTTGATCAGACAGCAAGCATAATACTCGGAGACTTCACTGCTGTACACTTTACTCGTACTGCTTGTCAAGGTCGAGTGCGTGTAGACCGCTTATGACCTATTTTTTTTAACCTTTTTATTCGTTTTATCAGAGAGGCGAAGAACATGTTGAGGATAATGAGTTTTGAAACGAATCTTTTTGCGCCATGATACAAACAAATAGATGCAGTTGGCTACTGAAAGTGAAAGTAATCTTTTATTCACAAGTAAGATATAAAAATAGGAGGTTGTCTGTTATCCATTTATTTAATAGTTTATTTATTTATTAATAAGGAACGACGAGACAAATGATAATAAGACAATAACGTTTAAATTCAATTTAATCTCTAGCACATAATCCACAAGTAAGAAACTATATTTCTCGGTTGCGAAGAGTAAAAAAAAGAAAAAATGAAAAATACACAACACCGGAGTCTAGACGCGACGAACTCTACGGGATTAAAACACCAGAATTTAGACCGTAAGCTTTTTTTTTCACCATAGATATATAGAAAACAGATTGAAAATATCGAATAAGATAAGACAACAGAGATTAAAAGAAAGAGAAAAAATAGGTAAGAGATGGATTGAAAATGCAGAATCTGTGAATGAAAAAAATGAAGGAAAATGGCGGATGACGTAAGAGAGAATCATGACGTCATTTAAGGAAAGGGAACTGCAGCAGTAGAGAAGACTTAGGAAAGAAAGGCTGGAGAGAGAGAGAGAGAGAGAGAGAGAGAGAGAGAGAGAGAGAGAGAGAGAGAGAGAGAGAGAGAGAGAGAGAGAGAGAGAGAGAGAGAGAGAGAGAGAGAGAGAAGAGAGAGAGAGAGAGAGAGAGAGAGAGAGAGAGAGAGAGAGAGAGAGAGAGAGAGAGAGAGAGAGAGAGAGAGAGAGTGAGTAGAAGGTTTAGAAGGACGCAGAGGAAGAAGAAATGCAATAAAGGAAGGGAGAACGACAGAAGAGAGAAGGAGAAATAGAGGAAGAACGAAACCGAACAAGAAAAGTGAGAGAAAAAAAACTAAGAATACAAAGTGCAATAAACGAAGAACAGAAATAGAGGAAGATTAAAAGGAAGATAAAAAAAAACTAGGAACAGGAGGTAAAGATTAGAAGAGAAAGTGCTAAGAAGGAACAAAGACAGAAGGAAAAAAAGACGAAAAAGGGGAATATATATGGAAACGGAAGGGGAGGAAGAAGAGATGCAGAAGAAATAAAGGAAAAGGAAATATAGAAGAAGGAGAGAGAGAAAGGAGAGAATGTGTAATGTAAGAAGAAGTCAGGTGAATAGAAAAGAGAAAAAGAGAATGGAGAACGGGGAATAAAATGTGGAAAGATAACGTAATAGATAATAGAATAAAATGATTAAAAAAGGAAAACGTGCAATGGAGGATGAAAGAAGGCGAAGGGAGGTGAAGAGAGAAGAGAAGAACAGACGAAGAAGAAATTTTTAAAAATAATTACGAAAGAGGAAGAAGAACGAAGAGAAAGAGAGTAAGAATGGACGATAGAGGAAGTCCAAACACGAAAATAAGAACCAACAGAAGACGAAGAAGGGCGAAGATGAACGTAGAGAGGAAGAGGAGGGGAAATAGCGAGGGTGTGGGGGGTGTGGGGGGAGGTCATAAAGACCACCCTCCCCCCCCTTAGGAGTTGCTGACTTAAATATTCAAAGTCAGACAGCACACCATTGACTCACGGGTCATTGACAAAACACAAAAAAGTAAACAATTAAACACAAAAACGTAAACAATAATACACTACTGAAGGCACGAGAGAGAAATTCACTTACAAAAAATAAATAAATAAATGAGGGGATAGATAAATAAAGGTTTCACTCGGAAAGGAGGATTTCACTCGATTTTTAAAAGGGATATGATTTTACTTTTAAGGTGAATATTCCAATATTATTTTACAAGAATTATGACTTTTGCGAAGAATACTTCACTTACTTTAAAAACAGTGCGGCTTCATTAACCTTTGCCTTACCTTTTCTCTGTCGCTCCCCCCCCCTCCCTCTCCCGTTGCTTAAAGGGATTATTTCAAAGAAGTGCGTCTTTACTGTAAAAAAAAAACATGGGAGTGAGATTTTATTTTCAGAGGAATATTTCACTCACTTTAATAGGAGTGGGACTTCAACTATCTTTATCTCACCCTTTCTCTACCCTTAGTCCACCCCCCCCCCCTCTCTCGTTTAGATCAGATCCCTCATTTCTTTTAAAACGAATACATCACTTAGGCCTTGTTTTAAAAACGAGTACCTCACTAGGGCCTACTTAAAAAAAAAAAAATGAGTACCTCACTTCCTTTCAAACGAGTATGACTTCACTGCAATTGCGATTTCACTAACCTCTGCTTCGCCATTTCTCTAAGCAATGCTCCTCTCCTCCCCTCCCTCCCCTCCCCTCCCCTCCCCTCCCTGGTACGACTTCACCAACGCTTCCTTACAAACCCTTTTGCCTCGCTCCCTCCCCCCCTCCCTCCGCCTCCTTCCCCGTTCCTAAGATCTACGCTTTTGGAGACAAGATAAGATAAGAAAGCCGGCAGGACAAAATGGGAAGAGAACCGGTAATTGGGCGAAAATCAAGAGGGGGAGAGAAAAAGGGTGGTAGATAATTTATTATGAAACATGAAAAATAAAGAAGTGAAAGAGACTGAGAGAGAGAGAGAGAGATAAATCCATGAGAGAAAGAGAGATAGAGCTAGAGAGAGAGAGATAAATCCATGAGAGAAAAAGAGATAGAGATAGAGATAGATAGATAGAGAGAAAGAGAGAGAGAGAGAGAGAGAGAGAGAGAGAGAGAGAGAGAGAGAGAGAGAGAGAGAGAGAGAGAGAGAGAGAGAGAGAGAGAGAGAGAGAGAGAGAGAGAGGGGGGGGGGAAGAGAAGAAGGGGGGGGGGAAGAGACCGCCCATAAATTAGTAAGTAACGTACAATAGATATGTCTAACCTATTATCTTTTTCTTCATTAAAGATCGCAAAAAATAGACTTACGAAATTAAGAACATAGAAAGTATTCTGATAGATAAAACGACACTGCTAACTCTAATGAGTGAGTGAGAGAGAGAGAGAGAGAGAGAGAGAGAGAGAGAGAGAGAGAGAGAGAGAGAGAGAGAGAAGAGAGAGAGAGAGAGAGAGAGAGAGAGAGAGAGAGAGAGAGAGAGAGAGAGAGAGAGAGAGAGACAGAGAGAGATAGACAGAGAGAGAGGGAGAGAGAGAGACAGACCATGATAGGTAGCCGGCCCATAAATGCGTAAGAGGTGAAGATAAGTCTAATAAACCTGTTAACTTTTTGTTCATAAAATACCCACAAACGATTTAACAGTTTTGCACAAAAAAGGTAAAGCGACGTTCCATTAATCTC